CTCCTCTCCTTCCCGTTCCTGAGGGGAAGAGCGAAGGGAGGAAGCGGCCGGTGCTTCTCCTGCCCCCCCGGAAGGTCCCTGCTGCCACAGCCACTATCGAGTAGACATTTCCATCGTGAAGAGAGAAAAAAAATAATAATAAAAATGGTTTAATCCCCACCGAGGCAGCTGCACCATGGCGAGCACTGCCTTTGGGAGAGCCCTGCCTGGCTGGGGAGCCAAACATGCCCAGTTACCTCGGGATTGGAGAGGGCTGCGGGTCGCACTCGGAGCCAGGGCCGGTTACGGCCACACGCATACACCGCTCTCCTCGTGTATAAAGTGCTCCTAAGCATCGGCCAAGCGCAGGGGCCCTCTTGAAAACTGGCACTTCTCCCCTAGCTTCTCCGCCATCTTCCCTCAGCATCGGTGTTGTGGTTATTTTCTCTTGCAACACGCAGCCTCCTCCACGCTGGTGCTCTCTGGGCAGCTTCACCGCCTCCTCAGGTCGCTCCTGTGCCTCTGGGCTGGAGGAGATACGTCCATGGCCGGAACGTGGCAGGGATCCATCTCGTACGGCGAGGGAAGCAGGGATCTGCTTCATGGAGCGCTGCGCGTTTTGCTCCTTCCTCCCACGCGTTGGGGACGTCGCATCCAGCTCCAAGGTAGCATGGAGATGCTAAGGCTTTTTTCACCTTGCGTTGCGAGCCCTCACATGCCGATGGATGAAACTTCCCGGTCTTGCCACGGCAATGCCTGTCTCCAGAAATGAATTTACAGACCCAAAAGGCAAGCTCAAATCTTGTGGCACCATTAAATGGTTTCGCAGCGAGTTCCTGGCATTTAGGGGGTGACAGTGGCTTGTAATTTCTGTTTCTGTAACGCATAGTCAGGCAACTCGTGCTTTATAGCTGACAATTCTGTGACATATAGTACTTTAAAAACACATTTATGTTAAACCACTATAAAAGCACTAAAGGTTGATGGAAGAAAAGTTTAAGATTAGTTTGATAGAAAAAAAATGTAGGATTAATGATGACATTTAAAAATCCTTTCAAAGGTTTTAATACAATGCTGCTCTGCAGTTTTCATGCTCAGATTACAAATACAGCAGTCTGCTCAGATTTTCTATATTTTCTGTATTTTCACAACACAGTACATATTTGGCAATGTATATGCAAGACTTGGTGTACAGTACGCACATTTCTGGTTTTGTTTTTTGGCATTTGATCTTGTTTGAAGACTGCGCTTGTAAAAGGATGCAAGAAAAAGCAGGATTTCATGCTTGGACAGGAGAAAAGTGCTGCTACATGACAGCCTCTGACAGGGTTGCAGTGTTACATGTGCAGGGAACTGAAAGAGGTTGGATTCACCAGGAGGATGGAGCACTGGAAAGAAGGGAGGAATTACTGACTTCGGTCAGTCTTCTGAGTGCGCTGAGGGGCTGACTTGGCTGGATTTGCTTTGCCTGAGGTGGCAAAGCCAAGCGCAAGGAGGAGGGTGATTGCCAAGTGTAGCTTGAGGTATGTCCCCTGTGGAAAAGCAAATGCAATCATGGATGGCCTTTTTTTTTTGCCACATGGTGCTGCTGCTGTCATGGTGCAAAGCTGGCTGGTAGAAGGTGCCTGTGCAGGGTTTTTGTCAGGCTCTTGTGCAGTGATGTGTTCTTCGTTCTCTGCAGGATCCACACCAAACTTCTAGGCACCACCGTTCTCCACAGCTTCTATCCACAGGCCAGTTTGGACGAAGCGAGGGCCGGTGCTCACATCTCATACCAAGTGCGACATGCCCCACTCTGTGTCCTGTAGTTTGGAAGATGCCACCAGAAGCAAAAAACTGCTCCGTCTGCCTAGACGGGAATGGTTGGCAGGGTCTTCTAGCTCCCAGTTGGCACAGGTAGAGGAGGAGGAGGAGGGACAACTTGCTGAACTAAGTGTAGCCAGTGCAGTTCCCAGGAGAGCAAAGTGCGCTGGAGACAAGTTGCAACAAGCGTTTTGCCAACTGTTTGCAGTTTCAATAGCTGGCTCCAAGGAATTGGACTGAACTGTCGCCAGCGTAGCTTAGCTTGCTTAGATCTTCTCCCTCTTCTTGATGTGGATGGATAGTTGTGATGTGTTTTTGTCTTTAATCCAGTTAAGCCTTCTTTAAATTCTTCATGCTCATTAAACATTTCACAACATCCAGCTTGTGACTGCTGTCATGGCAGCATTTTCAGATAGCCCTGTGATGCCCTTAAGTGGAATTAAGCCCAGTTCAGCTCTCCTTATATATAAGCAGTTGGAGTTAAATTCTGTGGGTACAGTGCACTGTGAAGATTAAAAATCATTCATATTGATAAACCTGGGAACCAGCAATGTAGTAAATGTACTAAAAATGAGCTAACTATGTGAAAGAGTTAGGTATTATGGAATAATCTTATGTTTTTCATTATCTTCTGAGGAAGTAATTAGAAGTTTCTTCAATACATTGAATTATATAAGAGCCTGGAAATGTCCGTGAAGGTTGAGGGATGCACAGTGAAAAGGCCTCATTGCTTGACACAAACATTTTCCTAATCAAGGTTTTTAGTCATTATATGGAATCGGGGTTAGCAGGAGATAACAACATCCTTCTGCGGATGCCCAGTGCCTCGTGAGCCGGTGAGCAGAGATGGAGACAGATTCTGTCAGTGTTGAGTGGGGTGGGCAGCAATGCATTTGGTGTTCCATGTTTTCTACAACAGGAGAAATCTCTTACCTCTTAGTCCCCTCCCTTCTGATTTGCGGGAGCCCAGGGCCACCAGTCAAGACTTGCAATACATTAATTGCCCTTCCCTGGTAGCGAAGGATCTCGCAGGAGTCACTCCTTGCGTTTCTTCCCTTTTTGATGGACTTGCACACTGTCTGGTTTATTGCCACAGAAGTCGTGTAGAGGGAACCAGGAACATCCTTCACGACAAAGGGGAAACAAAAAAGCTGAGATTAGTTTATTGGCTTTTCCTCATATGGTCTCGTCATCTGAATTAAGCTATATCAAATGCAGTTTTCAATAATGAAACAGACAAAAAATGTATACACAAATGCAGTGGATTTAAATAAAACTTACATAAAATAACTAGGTAATAAAATAATACCCCCTTATTCAGATACATTGCATGGCATGAAGGATGTCTGCATGCTCTAATTTGGTTTATTCTAACATGTTTTTAATACTAGCCATTGCATTTTGTAGCATTATTTTGAAGAAAGCTCTTTCGGAATTGAGTAGTACCACAGAAATCAGAGTTTCAAGATCAACTGTTGGCCAGAATCAGAATCCCTTCTGCTTATACACCCAAGAAATGAATATAATAGTCCAAAAAAAAACCAAAATATGAAAGGATTTCATTTAGAATTGTGTCACTGATACTGGCAGCTTTTTTCAGAAGTACCTTAACGTTGTGTTTAATAAGGAGCAGGTGCAGGTTGGCCTCAAGGTCTGCTTTGACACTGGAGAGCTGCTGAATGGATCCATGTGGGACGAGCTCGTGCTACGAGGGAAGCGGAGGGAGGAATCACGGTCCTGCCCGTCCTGGGGTTTGCATGGGCAAGCTGCACTAACGGCACGTGGCACCGTGTCCCTCTCGCTCGCCCGTCACCCTGTGTCTCCCCGTGTGGTGCTGTTTGACGTGAGGCGCTGCCTTGGAGCCAGCTCCACGCGCGGAGCTGGGAGCGCCTAAGCAGGGAGCCGGGCAGGCCTGGGTAACCATGGAGACAGGAGCAGGGAGCGCGTTATGGAAAAACGTAACTCAAGGCGGGAAAAGAAAGTTGGATTGTAACTTGGTTATTCCCCCGGCTGTTCACTGATGGTCCCCGAGACAACCAGCACCGACTGCCTGCCGGGGCGGGTGGCCCGTGGGCAGCTGGGCTGCTGCTCCGGCCTGGCTGCTCAGAGCGAAGCTCCTGCAGCTGCTTCTCCCAAAACGGAGGCTCCTGGAGAGCGTTTCGCCTTCCCTAATAGCCGGGTTTGTCTACACGGTGTGAACTGGCTGCCTGAGCTGCTTCTGTGGCCAACCGAGAGCCAAAGGGTTGTGCATCCCCGCCTAAAGGAGGCCTCCAAGACAGGTGAAATGGCTCATGTCCTGCAGGGAGCTGAGGACTGCTCGTCCTCTACATAAAAATTAAACTATAACCACAAACCAGCCGGGCTGCCTTCCCTCTGAAGCGCAGCCCTGCTGACCTGCTCTCTTGGTGCCATCTGTGGCTGCTGTTGGCTGCTCCAAGACTGGGCATCTGTGTTTGGACAGAGAGCCTTTAACGCCGTTGTTTGCAGTTCACCAGTGATTTAACCCTGCTATTTGGGGAGGAAGGAGGGTCCTGCAGGCAGAGCACAAAGTCATAGCACAGAGTGGACATCACAGCTCCTGCTGCAGTCGTTGCTGCATTAATTCTTGTAAAAGTTGACTGTGGCTCAGTATCCATAAGGAACAACACAAAGAGCTCCTCTCAAGTCCTAGATCCAGCTAGAAAAAAGAAAACACCATAAAATGTTAAGTTTTATGTTGAGCCCACATTGATGTTTTAGTGCCTCTGTAATACTGTAGGCCATTTCTTCAGAGGAATAATTTATGTTCTCCAATATTATGTGTACTTTAGTGCTCACTTAATGACAAGCTAATATTTCAAACAAAATACAACTTCTGTAATGAGATACCTCGTTCCTGCCAGGATGTTATTAGGATACCTGCTACAGCGATCTAATGAGATTGACCTTCATTTCAAAACAAATTGCTCTCCTCCCGAAATTATTTTTAATGGTCTTCTTGATTTATGCAAGGGGACCTATAGCGATAGCCTTCTGTTGGGGGAATAAATGATTCCAATAATTATAAATTTTATCAAATTGACAAGTCATTTTCAAGTGCTACTCTATTTTTATTGTTGCACATACGCTGAGTCCAACATTATGAAAGTCCCTATTTTCTCTGCCTCTCCGCAAAGAGCAAAATAAACGAGTTTGGTTCATGGCGACTAGACGATAAAAACATTTAATTGCTGCCCTGTTTTTAGCAGCTCTGAGGCGTTCACCTTGCGGCGATTTGGGCTCCCTGGAGTGCTGTTTGCTGCCATCTCCCGGACATCTCTCCAAACGTCAAGGAGATCCAATCCGTGCTCTAATGTTCCCTTCCTCCTGGTATTAAAAACTGTTGTGCGCGTGATTGCTCATATTTATTTTTAATGATATGAATTCTTTTTTAAAAGATAATGAAGAGAAAAAATAGAAGTTTGCATGCTGGATATTTGTGCCGAGTGCCTTAACATTATTGATTAGCTGAAGCAGTCTGGCTGAAGCGTTTCAGAGGGAAGATGCTTAGAAGATGGGCACGGTTGGTGTGTATTAATAATAGATGCAAAGGCTATGCCATTCAATTCGAAAAGCCCAAGGATCTTACCAGCATTATTTAATCCTCACCACATCCTTGGGAGGCATCTTTCATTGCATGGCACCAATTTTATGGACTGAAGTCGTGGATCCGCGGTGTGGTGGCAGATTCTCAGGTTTTGCATGCGAGCTTCCAATTACAGGAGGAAAAAGAAAATGCTCAGAGGGTAGGAAAATGATACCAGTGCGGATTTTCCTAGTGCATCTAAGTGCAGTGGCATCTGGCCATCTTTTTCCTCCAGGCTTTCTACAGATCCAGCCTACAAGCATGGTAGCAAATTCCTCTTCCAAAAAATCCCAACACCACTGAGTAAACAACTTGACTCAGGAAAATGACATTAAGGGGCAGGAAGAGGGGAGCTGAATTTAAGAGGCAGGGCTTCCCGCCGTGGGGAACGCTGCCTTCCCTGCGCCGCTGTGCGTGTTCCCGTCACCAGCTCCCGCGCGCCCGTGTCGCCCGGGCAGGGATCTCTGCAGCGGGGAGGCCCCAGGGCTGCCCCCGCCCCGGCCCCGGGAGCCGCTCGAGCCCCCGTCCTCGCCGCTTGTGTGGAGACACGGAGCAGCTCGCGGCCTCCTCCTCGTTTCGTGGGGTCCGTGGTTCCTTTTTGCCAGCAGAGAGTGCTAAAGGCAAAGTGAGAACCCCAAGGAGGCCAGCTGATCTCCTCAGTAAATGCTGTTAATTGCATTTGCTTTGCAATTATAAAACCGAGAAAGTGGCCGATGCCTGTGCAGGGACTGTCACCACCTGTGAGTACTGGGCACGGAGCACCCTGGGCACGGACACAGCTGGATTGCAGTTCTCCTGCAAGTCAAGAGCAGGTAAAAATAGCGTAGGTCTCCAGCGTGGTACAGCACAGTTCCCCTGATTTCAGTACCGTGCTGGCTCATCTTAAGCCCTGTGTGATCGACTGGCAGCCACATGTTTAACCCAGAAATCCTCCGGCTCCCAGCCAGCTCAGGCAATCCTCTCTCCAGCTGGGGATTTCTGACTCACCTACCTGAGCTTCCATTACACAGAGCAAAACGGGTCTCCCTTGCTCCAGCCACAAAGCATTTTTGGGGTAGGAAAGCCTGTGAACTCAACAAAAACACCACATATCTGATACAGTTTTACCTCCAGCAGCAGTCACACAGATGCTGCAGGAATAAGATACTGTTGCTAGGGCTGAGATTGGATTCCCCACAGGCCGAGGCTGTCTTGGAGGGGAGATTTACTGAAGGCTCCAGTACAGCTTCACCCTGGGGTTAGACTGGGCAGGGGCTGAGCTCCTCACTGCACCGGCCATTGGGAAGAGCTCTCGTTCCCCCTCGGAAGGTTCATATTTGCATCTGCCTTTTGTTGTTGTTGCTGCTTTCGGTTTAACCTGCTTGGGAACATCTTTATAGTGACAGAGATGGCAAGTACCGTTGTAGGCTTTAAAAATATATATAAGCAATAGAGAGAGCGTGTGTTATACTGCTATTATTGATTGGTTTTGGTTAAAAAAAAGGAACAATAAAATCCCGTACAACCAGAGGGCAAAGCCCTAATTCAACAGGCCGGGCCTGCTGTGCCGGCTCTTGCAGGGAACATTTGGCATCCAGCTCGCGGCTCCCTGGCACCTCTGCACCAAGCGGGACGGGAAGAGCCCCGGAGGATCCCAGCTTGTTACAGGGATAAGGGAAGGCAGGAAGGAGGTGTCCTGAGATGGGCTGCTGGGATCCGTCTCCTTTGGGAACCTCCCGCAGAGCTCAGTGGGATTTAGACTTAGGCTTCCCATTCCTGACGAGATTTTGGTGGACGCCCCCACCCAAAAAGAGACCCGTAACGCATCAACCCCGTTGATGCGTGGGAAGCGCCTTCCCCAGGGACGCGCGGCGCCCCGGAGCCGGCCGGGCGGCATCGCGGCGTTGTGTGCGGTTACTGCCTCCTGCGCGGGCCTGCTTGGGCCGACAGCAAGGCCTGTTCTGCGCAAGGGCAGCTCGTTTGGGCTTAGGACTCTTGGGAGAGAGGACGAAGTGCAGCCGAGGATAGAATTAGGTCATAACTTTAGGCTGCCAAGATTTCCCTCTTGCTTTTGTTTGCTGCTTTTGCAAGGCAGGGGCTCACATTCAACCCTGCTGGAAAGAATAATCTTTTGTCTGCGCTCACTGGATCGAAGGCACTCACTGGATCCAAGTACAAAGAAATACATTGACGTGGGGAAAAATTAATTTTCTACATTTCTAAAACATAAATAGTCATTCCAAGCCAGTGGAAGTGTTTAACCAAAGCAGTTGGGAGTCTCGGGAAGATGCCTAAAATGCAGCGCGCCAGCCGAGCACTTCCAAGCCAAAGTCTGACTTGGGGCAGGAGCAGCTGTGGGATCCGGAATGATGAGCTGGGTAAGGGCCCCTTTTCAGACCCAGGAGAAGACCCGGCCGAGCGCAGCGCACAGAGCGTCCTGAGCTCACTGGTCTGGAGAGGAGCTCCTACATCCTTGGGCCACTCACAGCGAATAAGCGCATTCAAAGGAGAAACTAATGTGTAATCACACCCGTCCTGCGGCGCTTCGGGCAGTGCGAGAAGGAGTTATCCTCAAACCACGTCAGTAACTGCAGAAGGAGCGGCCAGCAGAGCCCTCCTGGGAATCAAGCCTACGAGTGAAGAACTCGGGAGGGATCTTCACCAATGAACTCGTGGCTGTTATGCAGGTGGAATCTTTTGCTATTACGTTATATCCACTTGGAAATCGCCAAGGACTTGGAGCACTTACCTGACTATATCCAGGATAAGGCACGCTTTCCATACATAGCTAAAACAAATTGCTCTTCCTGCCTTTCCAGGAGACAGCGTAAATCCAGAGCCACGCCGCTGGCTTATTTTGGCAATTTGGAGATGTAAGAAATATTGCAATCAGATGTTTCAAATTTAATTCAATCCTTCATTAAGTTGATCTCCTTTTTAATTCAATCTCAGCCTCAGAGACTAAATCATTTGCATTAAAAATAGCACAATGTCCACCCTTTCTTTTAATCACTGTGGATTGCTTGAGGCAGGTATTAACGGGTAATCTGATTACTGGCTACACAGTGAGTTGACATTTAATTAATAACTAAGGGGAAAAAATTAGAACTTAGAAAATTATCAAAGGAGCAAAGAAACCAACCCCTATAAAAGACACGCGGCGTTAAACAGAACGTGAAGGGAGTTGTGCGGGCTGTGGCTCGCGGCTGGCACGGTCCTCCCGTGGGCTCGCCGCGGGTGACGCCGCCGCCACGTGTTTCGGTTGCGGGGGATTAGCAGCAGACCTCCGGGAGGAAGGAGGTGTTGGGGACATCCAGCGGCCCGTCCATTCAGGCTTATTTACACTTCCTAATGGGATTTGTGTCAGGCGCTTGGTGGTGTCAACTGCTGCATCTCCCCTGAGCCCGGCCGCACTTCCAGCTGCGCGTGCGGGTGGACACCAAGGCGCAGGGGCCCTTCTGTGGGAAATGGCACCCTGTTGTCCGGTGTCTTGTGTGTGCGAGGGAGCTTCTCCATCCAGCTGGCGGGGCCTCCGGGCACGGAGAGCTGCCGCCTCGAGGCTGTCGCCGGGGTCTTGCTTGGAGGGGCCTGTGCTGCCTCCCCGTTGTTTCCTCGCGAGGGCCGGCCTGGGAACGTGTCCGGGCGGGTGGTTCGGTGTCCGCTCTCTTCTCGCGCAGTCAGGCCTGGCCGGCCCGCGGCTCCCGGGAACACGTGGCTGGTTATTTCCCACCGCCTCCCTGGTGAATTTTAGGATTCCCAAAACACATCTCTGCGGCCCAGGAAGGTCTCAGTGGGGCAGTGCGGGAAGGGGACCGTGCGCCGAGCCTGCCCTGGCGGAGACGCGGAAGGTGACGGGAGCTGAGGGAGCTGCCACTGCTGCCACGGGAAACAAGTCGTGTGGTTCATGCTGCAAAGGGGTCAGTGCTGGTCAGGCTCTGGGCCTTGGTTTTATGAAGCAGCGGATGGTTTTACAACAGTTTTAACAGGAGCCATAAAAAAAAGTGTCATGTGGTGTCCCACAGCACCGCTCATATCCCACTGCTGCTCCTCGCTTTAAGCCGAGGATGACCCTAATGTCTTGCGGTGGCTGCTTCAGCAGTAACTCCCACGCAGATGCTCATCCATGAGCTGCAGCAGTTAAGGTGGGCGAGCCTGGATGTTATTTGCAGGACTAAACTGGAGTAAGTTTGCCAGGAGACTTGCCTGGATCCGCAGCTCGTGGGACGTTCCTTTTCTTTGGTGGTTGAGCTGCCGCCATCCATGGGGCAGGACACAAGCCCATCTCCGCGCCGCTCTCCCACAGATGGGCCGGGAGCAGGGAGCCAGCCGCGGCCTTGCGGGCGGATGGGGCCGGCACCGCCGGCGCAGCGGGACGGCAGCGGCAGCACCAGGGCACCGCCGCGGGGCTGCAGGCCCAACATGGGCTTTGAGGACACGTTTCTCTGCAGAGCCGCGACTCCTCCATCCGCCAAAGGCTGAAAAATACCCTTGCTCATAATTGATTGGTCTCAGGAGATTTGTTGCAATCCAGGATATATCAGCTCGGTAGTAGCAAGGTGAGAGGGGAGGCCTAGGTCTGACAAATGACACAACGGTCCCTGTTTGGTGTTAACATCCGTGGCCTGTTCTGTGAATTCATTGGGTTTATGGTCTCCTTGCGTAGCTTCCAGTATCAACACTGCAGTATTCGAGGATCTGTGCCTATTTTACAGGTGTCTTCTGGCTTCGGCTGTGTTCACGCCTGGCGCGAGCTCAAGCAAACCCCGACTAGAGACTTGCATGGACAAAACTCAGTCAGTTCCAAAGGGACCTGGGTTAAACAAGCGGTTACGGAGCCTTGCAAGGGTTCCTGCTGGCTTGGGATGGCTCCTCTCTCCACAGCAGAGCCTGGTGATTGCCACTCACAAACAGCCCAATCCAGCCCTTTAAACTGGCTCCGTGGCACTCCATTAAAGCAGACTGGATTACTCTGGTAAGGCCAAGATCTCCCTGGCAGGCTGCTAAATGCGCTGTGTTTACTGATGTCCCTGGAGTCAGCTTTGGATTTATAAAAGGAGGAGGAAAGGCGCTTCGACTGCTTTTGGAAGGCTTCTGCTCAAGCAGAACGGCAGCGCTGCTCTGATGCCCGTGGGCTCATCTGGTGCACACCAATAAATTGGCATCTGCAGCCCCCGTCGCCACGTCCCAAAGCCGTGCGGAGGAGCGAGCTGCAGGAGCT